AAGGAACATCCAAGTTCTAAGTAATACAAAAGCTACCAGCTTGCAGCTTGCAAAGAGAAGTGCTCTGAAGAGGATAACCCTGTGCCACTGGTGAAGCCACAGCAGTCGCGGTGCTCTGAAGTGAAGGAGACCTTGTAAGAACTGGTGAATTGGCCGGGCAGTCAGTAGCAGAAGCAGTATTCTTCTCATCCCTAGAGTTATTTGCAGCAGCAGCTGCTGCAGCTGCGGCCGCGGCAGCAGTAGAAGCGACAAGCATAATCTCATGAACCTAATCACAAACATAAAATCATTGGAGTAAAATTTGGAAAGAAAATCCCATTCCACAGAAACTTCGTAATAGAAGCACCATACCTTTTCCATAGGAATTCCATCAAACACACAGACACTTCCACCATAGAATATGGTCAGCTGAGATGGAGCAAGACTCGCAGCATTCAACCCGGATGCGGCCATTGTTGGTGGCCTTAAACAACCAGATATCAAAATGTTACGACATTATTAAACACTTCCTTTACTTAATTCTTCATTTAATTTACAAAATCAAACCAAAATTTTAATTAAAAAGTTTTTTTTTTTCCCCTAGAAGAATAACAGACAATTAATTTGCTCTTAATTAAAGTTATTCCAGATCCGGCATATTTCCTTTTCCAGTAGTTATGTTAAGAAATCAGAGAAAAATCGAACGTACCAGGCCGTAACAGCACCGGCATCCTTCTGCGGGGATCGTTTCCCCAAAAAATCACGGTAGTGGCCGGATCCCGGCTTCCTGACGTCATTCTCGGCGCTGCTACCGCCATTTAGTTCATGCACGGCGGCGATTGGCTTCACTTCCTCGCATGATTCCGCTTCTCCCTCCATGGAAACCGAAAAGAGACTCAGTTTTCCTTTCCTTCTCACTCTCACTATCATCACCAGTTCCGGGGAAATAAGATATATAATGTGCCTGAGGCCCTGAGCAGCTTTCAATTGTACTGTGAAAGAGAAAGGCAACGCATGAATAAAAAACGTGACACAAAAATCGAGTGGACACGATCGTTGATGGATCAGTAGAAGTGATACGTGTCATTTGATGATGGGGCGGTTGCTGCTCAAAATATTACTGGTAGATATTTTTTAGTAGGTTAAACTCCAATTTGATCCTTATTATTGTATAAATCTTTAATTTGATCTTAAATTAAAATTTTTTTTGATTTAGTCCCTAAATTATTGTATGAACTCTTAATTTAATCCTACTCATTATTGATTTAGTCTCAAATTGATCTTTTCATACAAAACATAATTGATATATCCATTATTTAACAATAAAAAATAATTATTTAATGACTATGTGTTATATTAATAATAAGATATATCAGTTATTTTTTACATAAAATAATCAATTTTGCATAAATTGATAAATAATAAGATTAAATCAGGATTCCTATAATAATTTAAAAACTAAATTAAAAATTTTCTTAGTTTAGAAACCAAATCAAGATTCATGTAATAGTTTAGAAACTAAATTAGAGATTTAACCTTTTTAGTCATGACCTTTTGACATTGACAGGTAGCATTTTGCTTGCTGAGATGGTAATGGTAGTGTCCCTACTCTATTCATTTTTTTTGACAGAATGTTGGCGTTATTTGGAGGACCACGTTCTGCTGAGCTTCGTTTGATTTGATTGGCATGGTTATCTTCGCTAGTTGCAAACATTTATTAAATATTATTTTTTTAAAAATATTAATTTAATTAAATTATTAAAATGCACTTGAGCCTTCTATTTAAT